ACGCTGCCACCACCGTGCTTCATCATGATGCTGCCACCACCGTGCTTCATCATGATGCTGCCACCACTATGCCACAGCTTGGAAAATGTTGTTTATGTTGATTCCTATTTCTTTTTTTTTCTTTCTTTCTTTTGTCAAGAAATAATCAAGGAAATTAAACTTTTTTTTCACCTATTTTAAAAAAAATTATAATTTAAGGCATTATAAATGTATTTTTCTGCACAGAAGACATTTCTGACATCTCTCTCCTTATCGTGGTGGTTCTGATTCTGTAGAGCTGCAGGATATATGTATATATATGTATGTATATATATAGCTGCTCGGCTTTCAGAGTGCCCTCTCTGCACCGTCACAACGGGTCGGATTTCAGGCCGCCGAGCCTCTTTGACGTTTCTTTTCGGCTGTTTTCAGGTCAGATCGGCTCCCTGCAGGCCACCCAGATGGCCCACGAGGCCACCATCAGGAACCTGGACCAGGAGCAGAGCCGGCTGAAGGAGAAGATCAGCCGGCTGGAGGAGGAGAGGGAGGCTCTGCTGAACCAGAGCCAGGCCGCCAACGAGCAGCACAAACAGCAAGTGATCAAACTGGAGCAGGTACCTTTAAAACTTGCTGTAGTTTTTCCACAGTAAACAGTAGAGCCGTCGCATACGGTTTAGTCTGTTGCTTCCAGCTGTTTGTCGGAGTTTTTCCTCAGAATTTTTCACGCCGGTGTGATATGATCACGACATTTTCGTCACGACAGAAAAACCAGCTCACGTTCGGTGATGCCGTCTCCTTCACTCAAAAGTTCAGACTTTAAACTCTCGTGAAAAAGTGAAAGAAAGTCCCCGGAGCTGCAGGTCCTGATGTGGTCGTCGACCTCATTCTGGACAGGAGCTATTTTCAGTCGTTGCATCGATAAAAAGAGGAAGAAAGAAGCCACACCTGCTTGTATATAGCTGCACATATTTGTCTTTAGTTTGTTTTTATATCAAATTTAGCTTTTCATGTTCACATCTGCCACCTATGTTTACATTTTCAACTTTCAAAATGCTCCGTTAAGCATGTTTGTGGTTTTTATTGTGATAAATAACATGTTTTTTCAAATCAGATTTTATATTTTTTGTGTGCTTTTGAGCCCAAAATGTTCATATATGGGGTTAAAGTGGAAAAACAATAGCTCATATAGGTGTAAAGAAAGCGCATTTGGGGGGCTAACAACCCCAGTAACCTAATCATTACTTGTCAGTCTAAATTATCCCCGACACGGAGACAGGATTTAGTCTGCTGCCACCAGGTGTTTAGGACTATTTCCTCTGAATTGAGTAAATATGTCGCAGCGTCAGCATCCATACGAGCGTCTCATGGATTGATCCGGTCGAATGGCATCGTTTATGAACTAGTAAGTGAACCAGGCTGTTGTTGGACAGTGTGACACCTGCTCCTGGTTTAGATCGTGTTTGTTGTCGCGTTATTACTCGTTGGCGACTCCAGGTGGCTCACCGCTCGGTTTTCTCGCCGTTTTCAGTCTCTGCGCGAGGAGCACCAGGGCTACGAGAAGGAGCTGTCCAGGCTGAGGGCTCACTACGAGGACGAGACGCACCGCTTCAGGGAGGCCCAGGTCCGAGCGCTGGAGGAGCTGGAGGAGAAACACCAGGCCCTGAGGGAGGAGGCCCAGCAGGAGAAGGAGGACGAGAAGAAGCTGCTGGTGACGGTGAGTCCGGCGTCTTCACGGGTGCAGCAGATCTACAGAATCTGGTGAATTTCTAAACGTGGAATACATTGATCTACAGTTTCCTGGTTTACGGATGAGCAGTTGGTGGTGCCATTTGTGAGGTTTCCCATAAAACTTCTGATCCTTTATTATTATTATTATTATCTCCACCTACAGTCGCAGGAAACAGCACACAAGGAGCATTTAATCATCACTGCTCCAAAGGTTCCAGCACGTAGCAACAGCGAGCGTCATAAGAAAGAGACTGGGTTTAATAAACGCTGTTTGTTCTGATGGTATAAAACACGGTGCCATCGCAGCCTCGGCAGGATTTCCTCTCGTTGTGTTTCCATGTCTGTCAACACAAGTTAACCCGGCCCGAGAAAAACAGTCTCAGAGACGGCTGGCGATGATTATTAATAAATCTTTTAACTTGATCTTTGCGAAGCGATTAAGAGCCACAAGTGCTGGTTTTTTTTTTTTTTTTTTTCGGGATGGAAGCAGTAATTACGACGGCCCGGTGTTGCTCTCGGGGTTCGTATCTCTGCACAGAAACATTCGCAATTAAATTCCCTCCTCGCAGCCTTAAAGAAACACGCGTCTGTGAGAAACGAGCGTTTAATTAGGTCGACATGAAGACGCGAGGCGGCGTCGCTCTCCTCCGTTCTGTCGTCTGCTGCTTTTCTTCCTTCCTCTCTTTGACTTCAGACATGGAGGGAATACAAATGCGCTCGGCGCCAACAAAGCGGCAGCAACTGATCAAATTACACAGGTTCAATTAATTTAACCCGATCCATTTACCAGAACAGAATTACATCAGCGGCAACGAATGCTCGCAAGCAGCAGCGAGGACTTCGTTGTCTGTTCACTCTGATCCGTCGGTTTAACGAGATGAGCTTAAACAGGCCGAAACCACGCGTTTGGATTTTACCAAAACAAACGAAAACCTGGAACCGACATGTGCGACTTCTTCCCGAGTGTCCACAGCTTTTAGCAGCACTTACAAGACGTGGTTCATACTGTAGATGTTTTACAGCGTTCTTAGTCGACATCACACATCTGCTCACTAGAAACACGTCCTGCAGGTCAGCCGGAGAGCTGGCTGCAGAACTTTTACAGGTTTTTACAGAATCTGCCTTCATTTCAAACTTTTTTTTTTTCATAAGCTCATGTTGAATAAAGTTAATTTTAACAGGATCAATTTATTTCTCTTTCTGGGTTTTGCTCTGGGCAAACTTTTGACACGTAGACTAAACAGATTTTCATGAATTATAATGATTTTCAGCTCAGATTCGGTTAATTTTCCAGATGGAACTGAATGTCGTAGATAACTAGTTCAGGGCATTTCTAAAAGATAAAAATCTAATGTTTTTTCTATTTTTACACTTTTCGGTTCTAGCAAATTGCGTAATTTTGGTGATTTTTTAAATTTAACACGTCAGTCAAACCCGGGTTGCTAATGGTGATGGAGCTTTAGAATTTTTAATGTTTTACAGAATCTTGTCAGAGAAAATGCTTTAGTTTGGACAGTTTTTTAATAAGGCATGTACATTAAAGTCAATCTAATTAATGTTATTGTTTTGGGCCTATATTCTGACTCTTGACGGGTTTATTCGCCGTCATTACACTAAGCTTGTGTAATTAAATCTTTCTCTATTAACTACACTAAAAACATCCACAGACACACTTATGTAACTATAATCGTAGTTTTCTGACAGTTGGCATCAAAGAGCCGTTTTGACTCTCGCGCTACATTAGCCCCGTTATTCACGCTCGCATGGCTCCACCTGCATTTGTTGACGGAGTTCAGCACAAAGCGTGAGCGCTCGTTGGCATCCAGTCAGAGCGGATCAGCTCAGAGTCATAAAAGCAGCGTTACTCACATACAGACATGTACAAAGGAGAAGCTTTAGTCTTAGATGTTGTCCCTTTTTCCTGCTTTTCAATTGAATCATGGCCAATATGTTTTGTATTTTTTGACAAAAACGTTAAAACAGACTTCTACAAAGCAAAGTCCAGACACGAATTCTCAGCTGGACCGAGGTCTGGACTCTGACCGGGCCTCCAGAACTTCACCTTGTTGTCTCCAAACCATTTCTATGGAGCTTTGAGCTCATTGATGGAAAACAAGTCTTCTCCACGTCTCAGTTCTCCTGCAGACTGCATCAGGTTGTCNTTTATTTTTATTTTCTTATTTATTTTGTTGTTATTATTTAATATTTACTTTTTAATGTTATTTTCTATTACTTTCTTATTATTTTCTTGTTTGTATTTATTCTTTTTATATTCATTTTCAATCTTTATTCATTTTTTTTTAAATTGTCTTATTTTCTTATTTGTATTTATTTATCTTCTTATTTTATTTTATTTTTTAAATATTTATTTGTAATTTTTTTTTTCTTTAAAAACAGAATGCATATCAAACAAGAGCTCGGGTCTTAAGAGGTGAAACACATTCACCTCCTGCTTTATTGGTATGTTTATTTGTTAAATTAACGTCAGTCACTTAACTCATGATTATTAATTTCCATCCTGACGTGTAAGTTGTTGTATTGTCTAACTTTTGCGTGAAAAGTGACCTGAACGCTTTACCAGAAGCCGGAAATGTTCCCCCAGATGTCTGAAAGGGGTTTTGGTGTTTGCACAGCGAGAGGCGTAGAGACGCTGCAAGCTTTTATCAGAGCGAAATCACAAATAAGTACTGGCAGCATAAAGAATTAAATATTTTGCACTTCCCCAGTTGTCCCAGGAGGACTGTCGGCGACCGGGTTGACTCATGAACGAGCCCAACAGAATAGAATATGTTTCGTGGTTTCACTAGGTGGAGGAGATGCGTCGGGATTTTGAGGAGAAGCTGCGGTCGTTCAGCCAGGCTCAAGCCCAGTTTGAGGCCGATAAGCGGCGAGCGCTGGAGGAGCTGAGGGCCGCCCACCGCCAGGAGGTGGAGGAACTGCTCAACAACCAGCAGAACCAAAGCGCCTCCTCCACGGAAGACCAGGAGAAGCTGGCCGAGCTTCATAGACAAGAGGTGGGCCAAGACGGGGAGATAGATGTGTTTTGGAAGAGCAAAATATTGGATTCGCATGTGCTTTTAGTGCTTCTGTGGGAAGTGGACGCAGCGAGTTACTTGACGGGGTAATTGCTGTTCTGGAGGCATGAAAACTGAAAAATGTCGGATTGTTTTGTTGGTGCAGGTGGCAATAAACCTCTGTTGCATGTCATCCCCTTATTTTCTTACCATTTTTTTCTTTCCTCTCAACTATTACCTGTCCAATATAATAAGTTTACTCAAGAATAACCTTTAAAAAAGACATAATAAGATAAACTGGCGCAATATATCCATGTAGGCGGCTTCGCTCCAAACATCTCTGAGTGTATTTTGGCAGCTTTGAGTCAGCGGCTTTCCGAGGAGCACAACTTCCCTTTGGTTTGTTCACCTCTCTGCGTAGGTGGAGGCGCTGATGGAGCGGGTGGAGGAGCTGAGCAAAGACAAGGTCCGCCTGGTGGAGGAGTACGAGGCCAAGCTGGGCAAGGCTCAGGAGTATTACGAGAGAGAGCTGGAGGCCATGAGGAGGACTCACCAGCTCACCACCGAGAACCTGCTGGCCTGGAAGAGGACCGAGGTGATTCGGCTGTTTGTTAAGACAACTGTTTCTGCCCGTTGCTCAAAGCACAAAACGTATTTTTGGTGCTAAATGCTAAGTTTGAATCCCTCTCACGTTGTTCATAGAGGTCGAATGCTTGAGTAGAAGTTAACGTTTGGGGGCTCGTCCGGGATTAAGAGGATGTCATGACTTATTTTGATATATTCTTCGATTTGCTCCTGAACAGTTTTTTTGTTTTTTCCTCACTGTGTGCTCACTTTTCGCTGCAGTATAAAGTCCTGCACCTCCAGAAATGTCCTCTGTGCAGTTTAACGAACTCAAAATGCCAAACGTGTTCAAGTATTTCCAAAGTGCCAGCAGGTGTTACCAACAAGAGAAAACAAACAAATGGATGAGAGATATTTTACCGTTTCAGGCAGAAATTCCCTGAATTTTTGTCCTGAGTGTTGGTCACAGCTGAGCCACTGACGGCTTCACGGCTGCACAGAGGAGCAAAGAATTTGTATTTTCTTACAGATTCTGGTTTAAGCAAACGTTTTATTTTTTGGTAAATTTTCAAACGAGACAGTTTGGATTTTATCCATTCTAACGTTACAGATGATTAGTTCAAGGACCGTCGTAAAGTTGAACATCTGATGATTTTTTTTTGTTTGTACCGAGTCTTACTCTGATAAAAGGTTTTGTTTTAGGAACTTTTTCGAGTTCACGTAACACCTTTCATCCACAAAAATACTGATTTGTGAAGCTTTAATTTGTGTGTTTCACTGGTTTGCGGTGATTTCTGAGAAACTTTCTTCAGTTTGTCTTCGTAGACCTCCTGACGCTGCCTCCCTCGTCCGCTCAGAGAGGCTAACGGTGTGATTCTGTGCTCATGTCAAGGTGGAGCTCCGTAAAGAGTTCCAGGCTCAGGAGGCAGCGCTGCAGCGTTCGCTGTCCAAGCTGAGGAGCGAGCTGCAGAAAGCTCAGGAGGAGGCCAGAGAGAATCGAGACAAGACCAACCGGCTGCAGACGTCGCTGGCCAACGCCGAGGGGACCATCAAGGTTTGTTCGTATTGACGTGAAAATAGCAGATAATTGTGGCTTCTGCTGCTCAATTCTTCTTTTATCGACGGGATCCCCTCAGAAAAATGGTACGAGAGTCTTCCTGTGGGTTAATCTGAGCAGAAAGTGGGCTCAATTGAACGAAAAAATGTTGCTGAAAACAAAGAGAAAAGGAAAAGCCTCGGGGTGAGAGCTGCTTTCAAGAATCTCTGAGTGCCGACGTGAAATGTAGTGTGCACTGATGGTACTGCAGGCGGATCTGCAGAGCGGCGCTTTAAAGACGTCGCAGGTGGACAAACGTGTTGTCTTGTGCTGCAGAACCTGCACAAGCAGCTGGAGGAGGCCATCCAGGACGGGGAGATCTGGGTGATGCAGCTGAAGGACACCGAGTACGAGCTGGAGGGCAGCAGGGAGCGAGTGCAGCAGCAGGCCACGGAGATCCTCCACAAAGCCAGTAAGAGCAGCTTCTGCCTGTTCCTCCAGCACCAGGCAACACACAGAACATCCTCTCATGAACGAATCAGTTCAGATTCAGATTCGCTTTGTTGTCATTGAAACCAGCACAACGAAAAGTCAGGCGCAGGCCTTTCAGTGCAAACAAATAAACATAAAAACGTAGTAAACAATGATACACGACATAATATAGCTAAAAAGATGAAGTTAAATAATAAGCACAAGCACAGTGTATACAGCACAGACATACAACATATTGGACTTATTACGATCAATAAAAGTGCTTTTCTATTGAGGAGTTTTACTAAATCTAATCTTGTAGTTGTGAGATTTTATTAAAATCATTTGAAAATGTTGCCAAAGCCAAACCTTTTATCTCTTAACCTTTACAGACGTCATGTTTAATCATCGAGTCTCACTTCATTCAGTCAGATTTTCTTTAAATCCCAGCTGGCATGTTGCAGACGTGTCTTCAGTCCAGCGGCGTGGATCTGAAGACGTCCTTCTCCGCCTTTATTAGTGCGACTCGTGTCCTCTGGCCTGTTTGGAAGTGAATGTTTCTCTGTTTGAAAGCCGTGGATTAAACATTTTATAATCCACTCAGAAGCTGGAAATGTGTCGTGTAAACTCTGGTTCGACTACTTTTTGGAACATCTGCTCTCTCCCCGCCCACTTCGTTCCCCTGCTCTGTTTTCTCGTTCACCAGCTTCACAAGCAGCTTGTAGGGAGACGAACACACAGCTTCTGTTCAACAACAACAACAACAAACATCGACAAAACATCAAAGTTTTATCAGATACCGAATCTGTTCTCAGTTCTCTTATTTTTAGCTTTTAGAAGCTCCTTGAACTCATCACGTGTGACAAACAAAATTCACCAAATCTAAACTTAAATTTGCAAAGTTTCATCACTTTTTTCAGGAGTTTTCAGGACTTTATAATGCAGTGAGCCACAGAGAGTAAAAATGTGCAAGTAGCAAAAAACAGCCAGAAACTGCCTGAAGTTCAGAGGATTATGGGAACAAACCGGGCAAACATGTACCAAAGTGGTCAGATCCAAACAATTCATTCACTCATTATACATGCAAATAACAAAATACCTGTTGTATGTAGCGTCATGA